GGCACCAAACCTCTGCTTACAGCTCTTCTCCGACCAACGTGGTCGGAGCCGACTAGGGACAAATGAACGGGGACGCCCGCTCGGTAAGGACCCGAGAAATCAGGCGGAGCAAATAAGGCAGGGCTCTCAAGTCAACCGCAATACCGAGGATTGTACCCTATACACCTGCGGGACAGTACTGTTAGGTCATGTCAGAAGGGTGCTCTACAACCTTCCAGACATGTCAGAACACGAACAGTATTGTGGGCGCCGACATTTGTCCTACAGTATGGTAGGCGCCGACATTTGCCATACCAGAAGAAGACGATAGAGCCTACCACATGCATCTGGGCGTCAACATATTATGGGCGCCGACGAACCATCTTGTACCCGACGGCGTGGGCAACAAGACTAGAAAACACACACTCTATCTCTCACTTGTAAGGCCACCCCCTTCATGTATAAAAGGGGATGCGCCCTCTCCTAAAAAGACAATTGATTCCGATTCTCTCTGCTTGGCTCTAGAATTCTAAAGCCAGACAGAGCATATGTTCAAACACTTAGCACATGTTGGAGCTCTCGTCACTCTTGACCCTTCGGTCCGGAGTCCAACCGGACCTCTGATACCCCCATCTTACTCCCTCTCGTTTATAACCCCACAGCAAACTTCGAGCACCTAGGCTCAGGAATAAAGTCACTGACCGACTCAAACTGAACATAGGGCATGTTGCCTGAACTAGTATAAATCCTGTGTCATTGAGTGCTAGGCCACATCTGATCACAACGTACGGCAAAACTACAAATATTTACGTGCTGGTCACTTTTCGCACTGATAGTACTTTATTGTAATTTTTTCCATAATATCTTATATTGGTATCTAGTCATAGATTTGAGGGACATTTTATTTTTAATATTATAGGCGGGAGTATTTAGATAGTATAAATTAAAGGGGTTACTTATATCATCTTTCATAATATCGGATGTGGGTAATTTAAAATAAATTTAGAGGGTTATTTCAAATTACTTTTTTATAATGGTAAACATGGGTAGTTTATATCCTAATTTAGGTGGTTACTTAAATTATCTTTTATAATGTACCACTACACAGATGATTTTGCAAGACGGTGCCTTTTTATTAACCGAGGCGGTCAAAAAATCCAACCGCCTCGGAAATTGTTGTACGATTAACGGAGACGGTCATTTTTATTTATGGAGGCGGTCAAGAAATGCCCGCCTCAAAAAATGGATTTATGGAGGTGGGCACCTTAAGACAACCGCCTCCAAAAATGGCCTATTTCCGGAGGCGGTCGTGTTAAGGTGCCCGCCTCCATAAATCCATTTTCGGAGGCGGACACACTATAAGGCCCGCCTCTAAAAAAGCCGAGGCCCAACAAGCCCATGCGAGGCCCGATAGCCGTCTTCATATATATACATGAACTTAGGGTTCAGCACTGCCATATCTCTTCCTCTCACTCTCCCTCCTCAGCCGAGCGGCGCCTCCTCTCTCCCTCCCTCCCTCCCTCAGCAGAGCGACCACCTCGTGCTCCTCCCCTCCTCCTACCTCCCACTCACGCGCACTCCTCCCCTCCTCCTCCCACATACGAGCCATGGCCGGCGCCACCTCGAGCTCCTCTGCCGCCTGTGGCTTCTCCATCCACGCGGTGCTCCTTGCGACGTCGCTCGTGTGCGTCATGTGCCTCTTAGACTCTGAGGAGGCTCCATGGGTGGCGGAGATGGCAGCCAGGGCCCAGATCTGACGGTGCCTCCATCCTTGCATTGTCTTCACCGGCGATGCCTCCGTCCTTGTCTTCACCGGCGGTGGCGGCGGATCTGGCCCCCCTCCTCCTTGCCGGTGGCAGATCTGGCCCCCTCCTGCTCCCCGGCAGCGGATCTGGCCCCCTCCTCGTCAGCGATGATGGATCTAGCCCCCTCCTTGTCGACGGTGGTGGATCCGGCTCCCTCCTCGTCGGTGGTGGCGGATATGGCCCCCTCTTCATCGGAGGTGGCGGATCCGGACCCCTCCTCATCGACGGTGGTGGATCCGGCCCCTTGCTCCTCCCCTGCGGCGGATCCGGCCCCTTCGTCCTCGGCGGCTGCGGATCCGGCCTGTTCCTCCTCGGCGGTGGCGGATCGAGTGTGAGGCCTCCCCGTCTCCACCAGATCCAGCTGCAGGGGCTCCACGTGCGGATCCGGTGGCCAGGTGCGGATCTGGTGGTGGCGGATCTAGGACAGCAGCGACGTGGCTGGGCTCGACATTGGGCCCATATGGGCTGGCGTTGGGCTCGACTGCTTTTTTATTATTTTAATTCAATTTACGGAGGTGGGCACAAGCAACCGCCTCCATAGGTCAGTGATTAACCGTGACCTTTGATTGGAGGCGGTTGCAATGCCTGCCTCCATTAATCCTTTTTGTCAGCCTCCAATAAGATTTCTGTAGTAGTGATGGTGAATGTGGGTAATCTATATGGAAACTGAGGGGGGTTACTTTATTTGTTTTTAACAATGACGGAGGTGGGTAATTTTTTGGAAAATGGAATAGATCCAATGGGTATTACTACTAGTGATGGTAATCAGAGTCTACCAAATGAAAAGCTAGATGCTTATGATTACTATGAGAATTTATAGGATTTATCCTTTTTTCTAGCGTGTCTCGTGAGGATTAATATGGAGGCTCTGTTAGAGGCCTCTAATTAGTAATTTTAAGATTTTTGAAGCTTTGAGATTGGAGACATTGTGATATGTGGGACGTGGCCATCTAATCTTTAGATTGATTGTCATTAGTGGCCCCGTTCGCTGGTCTGAAATTTGGCTGAAACTGGTTGAAAAACATTGTTCCGGCTTAATTGTTGTGAGAGAAAAACACTGTTCCGGCTGAAAAAAGAAGCCGAACAAGCCATTTTTAAAACAAGCGAACGGGGTCAGTGTGTCTTGTCTTCGTATTAAACTTTGGCTGGATGTATGCTTTGTTGAAGAAGCCGGGAGAGCTTCTTGAAAATGATCAATAAGTATAGAAGCAGGGAGTAGTAAATCTTCAATTTTGCATGAGTAATAATTAATTTAGAACCATGGCATTTGGTATTGAATCATTCAGATCCATATTCCTATCATATTCTTCTTCTATATACGCACTTAGAACTTACCAACTTACACCAAGTCATTAACCCATAATGCACGCCGAAGCCTGTCTTAGATATTTATTAAGAGTTGAAACGAGAAGTAAGAAGTTGCACTACTTTTTCACCCCAAAAAATAAGTGCCAGTTGCCAAATTGCTGACATTTTGTGTGTCACTTGAAGTAAGAAATTGAATTCTGTTGGCACGCGCTGCCAGTTATGAGTTGACTTACATAAAGTTGCTCGAGTGTCGATTGCTCTGATTAATTTCAGAAATGAGCCATGTCCATGTGGCTTCGCTGTGACCGTCTTTGTCTTTTGTTTTTATCTGCAGGACTGCAACTGGTCAGACTTGGTGCTACTCTGGAGTACAGTACTACTCAAGCATTTATTATTATTATATATTATATATATAAGCAACCATCATAGTTGATTCTGCTTCCAGTGCAAGGCAGAATTACCAAGCCAGGATATGCTAATGTATGTTTAAGACCTGTCCTATGCTTTCCATTTGTCATTTGTATAAGCAGAGTCAGCTCTACCGATTACTAACTGCAGTCTCTTGATGCGCACGCTACTGTGAGAATGGTGCTTAGGCGGCGTTGGTACAACAATTATATTAGATGGGTGTTTGGTTTAAGAACCAACCGATTTTAGATGAGATGGTGCACCATGTGGGTTCGTTCTTTAAATTTGGTGGAATGACTTCATTTGTTATGCAAGTACTAATTATTAGCTCGTAAGAAACTAGATGGTGATGGAATAGTAAAAAGAAAAGTAGATATCGAGGGAATGATGTACTACCACACTACACAAACCAAGCATCCCATATATGCGCGTGTTTAGTTGGCACCTAAAAATCTAAAAAAGTGTTACAGTACCCATCACATCGAATCTTGCGATACGTGCATGGAGCATTAAATGTAGACGAAAAAAAACTAATTGCACAGTTTGGTTGAAAATTACGAGACGAACGTTTTGAGCCTAATTAGTCCATGATTGAACACTATTTACCAAATAAAAACGAAAATGCTAGAGTAGTCCAAATTCTAACTTTCCCCAAACTAAACGCACCCTATATTTCTCGTATAGTTCAGAGTTGGAAGAGGGTGGCAGTACAATATGAGCCGCCATAACTGCTGCGCGTTGCGCCATCTGCAGTTCTGAAAACAGACAGATCCCTAGCTTCCACAGAAGACACAACCCAAAGGGTAGCACCATAGCAGAGCTGGCATGTTCAGAAGTCAGAACAACACATGTTTCTTTTTTTTTTCCCCTGACGCAGCCACAGTCAGCTATCGAGCCCTGGTGTAGTTTCACCCTAATTTTCAAAAAGTTGCTACAGTACTTGTCACATCGAATGTTTGCGGCCCATGCATGGAGCATTAAATGTAGACGAAAAGAAAAACTAATTGCACAGTTTGGTGGGAAATTACGAGACGAACGTTTTGAGCCTAATTAGTCCATGTTTGAATACTATTTGCCAAATAAAAACGAAGATGGTACAATAGCCCCAAAATCTAAATTTCGCGAACTAAACAAGGGCTCAAAGGTTTCCCCCCACCTGCATGTCAACAATCTCAGCTAGGCCTGACCACGTAATCATTGGAGAATACCATATGGTTGTCTAGATAGTTTCCTGCATGTATTTCGTTTCATGCCCGTTTAACGGATGATCTGTAGCTTGTGTATTCTCAGAAAAAGGAGCCAAAATTAAACGCACTATATGTACAGAATTTCATCAATCCAAACATGCATTATAATACAAAATACAATACAACACAACAAAAACGGTGCGCTAGCAGCAGGTTCCGATTCCAACTTGTGTTGGAGAAACTGTCAGCTACAATACGTACACCGTGTAACATTACATGCATGGGGGGCAAAACACTTGTGCTTTCTCTAACCTCACACACCCGGCTGCACCTTGGGGGACTTGCCGGAGCCGCCGTCGGCCGCCACTACGGCGCGGCAGAGCGGGCAGGTGACGTGCGACCGGAACCACCTGTCCACGCACTCGGCGTGGAACCGGTGGCCGCACCGCGGCAACACCCGGCCGGTCTCGCCGTCCCGGAGCTCGCCTAGGCACACCGCGCACTCCACCGCCGTCCCCTCGGCACCGGTGCCGCCCACCGCAGCCTCATCAGCGGAGGAGCCGTGCACGTACACGGGCAGCGCCAGGAGGCCGGCCTCCCCGAGGCCGCCCGACCGCGGTGATGCGCACGGCGGCGTGCTGGTAGCCGACGATGAGAATAATGGCCCCTCCGCGGTACCGTGTGCCGATTCCTCCTGCACTTGCGGAGAGACGGCGGCGCCTTCCTGGGATGTCCCCGTGAAGAAGATGCGCCAGATGATGGCGGCGAAAAAGAGCGCCGCGACGACGACGTTGCTCGCGATGGCGACCTTCACGGCCGCCCCGTGCAGGTGCCACTGTACGACGTGCGGCGCCGGAGGGACGGCGTCAGCACCGGTGCCATCCGCCGCCGCCTGCGGGACGGTGTCCGGCGTGAGGAACCGCCTGGCCATAGACTCTTATTGGTGCTCTCCGCAGCAGTGTTTATTTGGAGTGTTTGATTGGATACGAACACGACGTTGGAATTGGAATTTGGAATAGATGCTGCCGGCGGCCGGCAAGAGAAAAGAGATTCCTGCGACCGAGCGTGAATCTGTGATCGGCTCGGCGCGACAGGATGCTGCAGTGCTTTATATCTATTCTCTCGCTTCGAGCGGGAGAAGGAGCCATGCACGTCGCCATCGTGCACGGTTACAATTTTTACAAGTTTATTTCAACCGGTAATGGTTGGAACATGGCGTCCGTCCGCCCGGTGGCTCCGGTTCGTGGGCTGCGACGCCAGGCTAAATGACCGTCTCCTATTCGCTCTTCCAGCTTTTCGGTCATCGCAGTTTCCAAGAAAAAAAATCACCGCAGCAGAACTTGAACTGCGCACAGCTCTCACGCTCTACTTGCGCAGCTCACGGCGGCCGGCCGGAGCGGTAGCCGCCCGCACACATCTCGTGCTCAGCCTGTCCAGCTTGCCGCAGCTGGGGGTGAAGCTCGCCCGCATGCAGCTCATGGCAGCCCGGTGAAGGGTTGAGATGACAGACTAAAGGAAGGTGAATAGCCCTTTCTAAATTTAATCGCGCCGGCTAACCTAAATGAATACGAAATTAAAACAATTGATCTAGCCAAGACTACACCCCTCTATCGAAGTTCAGTAGCACATTATAAAGATTCTAATTAGACAACAAAAGTGCCGGATTAGTTAGAGCTCACCTATCTAATTCTAGAAGTAATGTTACACAAACATATGCTACTAGTATTTTGCACTCTAGAGAGCTCCTACACAATTCTAATAAGCAAGAGCACAAAGCTTCTAAGCTCATTAGCAATGCTCAATAACAAGACAATCAATGTCAAATTAGAGAGCGCAAATACTTAGCTACGCAGACTAAGCAATGTGACTAACAATGTTACACAAACTAAATTAACCACGCAAGGGAGCTACTTCTATGCTACGTAAGCCAGAAGGTAACTAATGAGCTACACAAGCTAACTAATTACAAGAGCAACTACACAAGCACAATGTATATGAAAGTAATTACAAGCTTGTGTAAAGGGATTGCAAACCAACGGAAAGAACAATGTTGACACGGTGATTTTTCTCCCGGAGTTCACGTACTTGCCAACACATTACGTTCCCGTTGAGACAAGCTTCAAGGTTGCCGCCGATCCTCTTACTAGTGGTGACCCACAAGTCACACTCTCCCACGTGGATTGCTTACCACAAGCTCTAGCACTTGACCCGGCCAGATCACTTGTCGCCCTTCGCGTCTCGCTATACTAGAGTTGCTCTTCGCTGCTCCCGCGGGGCGAGCACAATGCCCCTCACAAAGCTCTTCTCCGGACCACCGCACAAGCTTCTTTGCGGGCTTCGACGAAGACCATCACCAAGCCGTCTAGGAGGTGGCAACCTCCAAGAGTAACAAGCACCACCGGCTTGCAAGACGACCACCTAGTGCCACTCGATGCAACCTCACGATGCAATTGCACTAGAATCGCTCACTCATTCGATCGGATGAACACTATCAAGCTCAAGTGAGTTAGAGGGCTCCCAAGCACTATCACATAAGTCACCAAGGCTCTAGTGTGCTCAGCTCTTCTCCCCTATCGACCAATGGCCGATCAACACTTCTATTTATAGCCCCATGGGCTAAAATAGCCGTTACCCTTTCACTGGGCGTTTTTTGGGATGACCGGACGCGCAGGTCACACTGACCGGACGCACCCGGCCAGCGTCCGGTCTCGCTATGCCATCCACGTGTCGCTCTGCGTTCAACCAGAGCCACCCGGTCTCAATGGTAACTTCGCGCGCCAACGGTTAAGTTACGACCGGACGCAGCACAGCGAGGATGAACGGACGCTGCTATGTCTGAGTCCGGTTGTTTCCAGAGAGCTCCCTGAGCCTATGTTTTGCGACCGGACGCGTCCGCTCCTGCACGATGGACGCAGACCAACGTCCGATCAGCTCTGCGCCCGCGCGCCAACTTCAGCTCCGCCTATGTCACCGAACATCACCCTGACCGGACGCGGCCACTGTGCGTCCGGTTACTTCTTCGCCCAGCGTCCGGTCACTTGACTGAGACCGCGTGCTATCTACTGCCACTGACCGAACGCGCCGGTCCTACCGAGGCCAGCGTCCGGTCACTCACAGTGACACCTTCTCGCATTCGTTTCTTCACCGAGTTGATTCTCATCAACTCCAACTTCTTCTTCTTTGTAAATGTACTAACACCAACAAGTGTACACCACCATATGTATATGTGTTAGCTTTTCATAAATATTTTTAAGGAGTTACTTGACACGTCACTCGATCCTAGCAACGATGCAAAGTTAGATCACTTGAGTGGTACTAGATAACCGATATACAAACAAGTTTGCTCGTCTTGATAGTACGGCCATCTATCCTAAACCCGGTCATAAACTTCTCTACACACCTATGACCGGTGAAATGAAATGCCCTAGGTTATACCTTTGCCTTGTGCATTTCATTCCATCTCCTCCAATGCCGATGCAACACATACACCAACATAATCAACAATGATATGATCCACTTTATATCATCACGTGATCATATTGGTTCATCGATCTTGACTTCACTTGCTTTTCACCGTTGCCTTCGTCCATCGGCGCCAAGTCTTGCTCAAGCTTCACTCGTGTGCCCTCCGACGTGGTCTTGGTCATAACCTCGCGCCTCCACCTTTCTAATTCACCCAGCTCAAGGCTTTTTAGCCCGTCTCCTCATGCCAGTAGGTAGCATAGGAAGCCAGCTAGTCGCCCTGTTCGTACCTAGTCCTAGCAGATGTCCTTCACCACATCGATTTGAGGTTCTGCTCGCCGCAGGCCATGGTCGCCGCAGTGACCTGGAATTGGGGAGAGAGGTAGGATTGGAGCGATAGTAGTTCGATTGCTTGAGGCCATAAACTCGCCTTGACCCCCTCCGCTTGGTGCTCGTGTTGTTTTGTCTAGGGAGTCTGCCATCGGAGCGGTGGCGCACCGGTGTCACGCTCGGCACGCCACTGTGAGGTGTGGGCGCACATGGCCGGGTCGCCTCGTCGCTCCTCTGCCTCAATCCCCCACCGCAACATGAACCCTGGTGAGCTACGGGTGCTCATCCATCACCGCCACCACCTCGGTAGAGCCTTAGGTCGCCGGAACGAGCACACCACGGCATGGCTCCGCCCGTCGCTGGGGCTAGCCCTCGGTAGTGCGCCATTAAGCTCCCCACCGCTACCTAGGAGTGCGCTCTTAGCGGTAGGCAAAGGTCGGCTCCTTACCCACGTGGTAGGGAGCTTGGGGTGCCCAGCGCAGCTGCCCATGCCGATGGTCACCATGCCGGCGAACGCAGGGTAGAGTAGGGACCTCCCCATTGTGAAGGAGGAAACATCCGAGGTCCTTAGTGCAAAGCTTGTCTCTGGTGTAATAGTGCTTAGTGACGCCGTGGGATAATATGTTACGTTGAGGGTTTTTCCACAAAAGGTGCGGGGGCACGCGCGGGCTCCCCGTCGTGGGCCGCTTGTTGGGCCGGCCTGCTACACACGCGGGCTCCCCGTCGCCGGCAGTTTAGGTTGCTGGGCCAAAATCATTGGCCACCGGTTTTTCCTTTTTCTAAAGCGTTTTCCAAATTAGTTTCTAAGGTGAAATTGTAAATTCAAGATAAATTTGTGTAGATGTCTAAAAATTGTTAAACTAATTTTGTTAAGCTTCTAAAATCATGATCTATCTGTTAGTATATTTTTTCGCATAGCTTTATAGAATTTTTAAGAGTAATTTAGTTGATTTGAAGCACTGAGTAATATTAAAACATAAACTTGTAGAAATTATTGTGATGAATTGGTAGTAACATTGGCTCTGAAATTTTTATAGTAGATTCCTAACATTATTAAGTGCTCACTGAAAAATTCCGTAGCTTCTAAATAATTAGTTTGCTGCGGTAACTAATGAGCCTTAGTTTATACATATAGTAAATAAAAGAAAATAAAGAAACACCTAGGGATTTTATAGCTAAAACATCGTGGGAAATTAGCGCTTTGTTCGACAACGTGGATACGTGGCCTAGTACGTTAGTCATTAAGACCGACTCGTTAGTTAATAGTGTAATTACATTTTAGAGTTGCGATTATCGTGATTATTTATATTTCCGCGTCGTGTCCACGAATATCAAAATAGGCACAACGACGGACCATAAAGTCATCTGGGGAAAACAGGAGCAGCGGATACATGGATGGCCGTGTCACTACGATGGAATGCTAATCTTTTGGTTATATCTTACTTAGGTAAGCCCCGGTGCATAACCCATATTATTCTGTATTTTAATTTATGCTTGTGCATTAAGTTTAAGGAGTTGAATGAAACCCACCTACATATATATATCCTTATCCTATGAGTTTTACTAGTATGACAGGATCGTATAGATTGCTATGCTTTAGGACTCCGGTAGAAGTCAGGTGATTTACTGTCACTCGTGAGAGATAGGAAAGATATTATTATGGTTATTATATTATTATCACCTGGAATATATATATATATGAAAGAAAATGGAGACTAGTCAGGGATATGGTATGGGTATTGGTGGGTGTAAGAGGTTGTGTCCCGCGGTCAACGGGGCATAGCTTGGTTACACTGTTTTCCCTGTCTGTGTCGGTTAAGGACCGACCGTTGCATTGGGTTCTAGTCAAGTCACAGACTTATTATCCTGAGCACATACTTATTTATGAGAGCAAGTAAGGCTCGTTGCTCTCTTGTCATGGGTTTCGGCTCTTTTCGGACCGACTGATTGGAGGCGGGGATGGTGGAGGTCTAAGCACCACACTGAGTCCAGGACTCAGGTGTAGGGGCTTGGAGTCCAAGTTTGGACAGGGACCTGGACCCCTTGACAGGAGAGTGGTGGGTTGGTTCTGCTTGTGCTTGAGGTACAAGCGGGACGTGTGTTTCGGGATACCCAGTTGGGCACATTAATTCACGAATCACCGGGTAATCCGGTACGACTTGTCTACGATCTAGCACCGTAGTAAAAACTGAAATATGAAAGATGGTAAGATGGTTCTGATTGCTTACCACCTGCTTGAAAGTAGCATAGGTGTTTACGTAGAATGGTTAGTTAATGAACTAATGATGATTGCTAATAAAATTTGATATAAGGACGCACGTGTTAGTAATGCTTTCTACAGATGCAATAAAACCACAAGCCAGATAGCCTTGCATATCCTTGAAGTCTTTTTTTCCTCCTGACGTGTAAGTCTTACGGAGTACAATTGAGTATTCAGGGTTTGTTCTACCCTATTGCAGATGACAGGAACATATGGAGCTGACACTTGTGTGTGAAAATCTCCTGGTGGGCTCAGCGAGAATTTCCTTAACGTTGCGGACATAGAGTTTATTTGAAACTTTCACCCAAAATATTTTACAATGGAAAACTTATAACCTATTATGATGTATATAAAGGATCATCATGTTAATGGTTAACTTGTCATTCAATGATTTTATTTTTGTTGAAACTCTGATAACATGGTTATATTCTGCTATTATAAATATTATACTCTGATGTTGCATGTAAGGTGATGTAAGAATTGACTTAAGAATATTGTAAGCTTTATTCTCTCATTTGTGATCCTGATGGAAAAATGTGGATTTTCGGGTTCTCCCTTAGGGTGTGCTCGACAGAACTGCCTGATGTAGCTCACCTTCGGGGTGCTTAGTGTCTAGTGAAAGACAAACGTCTCCATAAGTGAGTTATTTCGGACGGTTCTGCCACATGACGAGGGAGTCGGACGTGGGGCGCAGACGCCGCGTGGAGTCGGACGGTACGCGGGAGTGCAGGTACAGAAAGGTGTGTAGGCACTAGCACTATCGTATTTCAACTGATTACACGCCTGCTACTCACTCCCTTCCAAAATAAGTTAGTATTCTAGGAGTTTGGAACAAAAACCAAGACAAATGATAAAATGATGAAACTGCCCCTATGAAACATTGGGCAGGCCTCCATCAGTTACCTTTTGTTTAACTCAATTTTTATTTCTTTGTTCCTCGTCCCACGCTGCTCCACAAGCCTGTCTAGTGTATTGTTCTCTGCAACTGCTTTGGACCTCGTGCCATTTGTTCATTCATTTGAGGGCAAAATTTGAATCACAAATTTGCAATTATTTTGGAACGGATGGAGTATTTACTACTGGCACAAGATAAACCATGTTATTATTTTACTACTACTACTACTACTAGGTAGAAACATAGCAGGCTTATAACATTTAACACCACAACTTTATTATTACGACATTTCAGATGTTTCAAGTGCCTGATGCTATATATATGCAGCAGTGCATCTATCTGTTGGCTCCAGATATTCAACAACTCCCAAGCAGCTTCTTGATGTCCTTCTGCAGATAATGCAAATAAAAGGTAGTGTTGTAAGATTAGACGATCGAGGAAGTTCCACGAGCATATATAGCACAAGATCGATGCACCATTCTGAACTCTCACCTGGATGCTGAGTGGGTAAGTGGTTGGAGCATACCGCTCAGTGACATGCCCCTGTTTGTCAACCAAGAACTTGGCGAAGTTCCACTTGATGTTCTCACCGAATGGGCCGGTTTTGCTGGATTTCAGAAACTTGTAGATGGGCGCAGCATCTTCGCCGTTGACGTCAACCTTACGGCCGGGAAAAACAATGGATAGGCATTAAAACTTTGCAACCTTATATTACATGATCAGGTCGCTGTTTATTTCAGCTTGGACATGCAAAAGAGTAGAAATTAAAGAAGTTTTGTGCGCACAAATTTACCTTGTCAAAAATTGGAAACTTAGCCGTGAAGCGAGTGCAAACAAACTGGACGATCTCCTCACTCGTGCCAGGCTCTTGCCCACCGAACTGGTTGCATGGGAACGCAAGGATCTCCAAACCTGAAGAAGGTCACACCAAATTAGCAGCAATATTAATTTATAGCATATTATGAATCATAACTGAACCAATCTACATGAGGAACTGGGCATAAGAGAGAGAGAATCAGTCGCCCTGTTCGCTTGTTGGTTTCAGCCAGGCTTATTCAATTAACCAACCGTGTTTTCCTCTAAAAAAACCAGCACCAGGCAGCCCAAACCAGCACCAGCACCAACCAGCGAACAGGGTGAGTATCTCAAAGGCGACTCACCCTGGTCCTTGTACATCTCGTATAGCTGGGTAAGCTCCGTGTAGTTAGAATTGGTCAGGCCACTGTAATAATGATTACAGACAAGTAATCTTTTAGTTCAAACCAAAAAAGCTAATAAACATTCATAGCACTTCCGCATCTGAGGATGGTAATGGGCCACAGCCCACGGGCCTCATAATCTGATTCTACTTTTCCAAAACTGTAAGCCCACGGGTCAAAATTGTCAGCCCGTTGTCAGGTCTAAGATACAAGTACAATATACAGCAAACAAAATAGAAAAGAAACGAAACCGGTGATATGGTACTTCAAAAATATGTACAAACGTTTATCAAAAAAAGATGTACATAAGCCCCAATTGGCAGGGACCGATATTTTACCTGTCCAATTCTGAACAATTTGTCTGCTTATATAGCATACTAATATCTCGTTCAGTGCGTATATTCCCTACGGACACGCGAAAACCTTAATCCAAAAGAACATAAACTACAAGGGCACGTAGCATCTTGGGGTGTTTAGCACATGAATATGTGAGACTAGTGTATACGAAGCTCAACTTCCTATACTTGAATGAGCTAATTAAAAAAGCAAGAGAATATGACCATTTGTTTCTAGCTTAATTAATTCTGCTAAGAGACATAAATAAAGCTGGAAAGGCGTCCTACATTTCAATCGCTGACAGAGGGAACAATAATATATGATCGTTATGTATTACCACTGTGATGCAACGTTGACGATGAGGAGAACCTTGCCCTTGTAGGTGCTCAGGTCCACATCTTTGCCGCTTGCATCCTACACGCAATGCGATTATGCACTTGTGAATCACGTGCATTAGTTTTGGAAGGGAACTGAGGGGGAGAGGGGGTTACTAGCAGGCGGACCTTGACGGTGAAGTCGTGGAGGGAGCTGGCGGCAGCCATGATGGATTGCTGATCGAGTAAACACAGCTCGAGCTAACCGGCCGGCCAGAGCCCGGAGGATGGATTACCAAGGCGAGAGCCACCTGGGAGATGCGTGGGGAGGCATCGGGGATGCGACCCCATTTTATAGCGGAGCAGGGGTTTACGCTGCGACACGGCTGCTGTCTGCACGCTCTCGTCAGCTTTCTCGTATGCAACGAAGTTGGTGTTTCGCCGTCTGAGGGCCTTCCACCCCCTTAATGCTAAGTGGTCTCTATATCCTCACTAAAGATCACTAAAGTAGCTGTCCCATGTACACTTTAGTTACTTTTAGCTACCCTTAGTGACTAAAAGCCAATAAAATTTAGTGGCCTCTAAATTTTAAGGGGGTGTTTGGCATTTTAGTCATTAAACTTTAGTGTCTCTAAACTAAAAGTGACTAAAGTCTAGCCGCTAAACAGAGTTAAACCAGCTAAACAGAGTTAAACCAAACAGGCCCTGAGAGAGGCAGCTTGACGAGATTCTTGATCGGTACAAGGAGATGGAACACAGGAAAGTTGTACGAGAGCATAAACCCCAGCATCTTCCTCCTGCCCAGCATTGTAGTTAACGCCAACTTTTATAAGCACTGGTTCATTAGCTTTCGTCCATGGTCAAAATAGAATTCGACCATCAAACATCAAAGGTCAAGAAATATTCGATGACTACCTTCCAGTTCCAGGTTTCCATGGGCAACACGACAACTGAACCCCCAAAAACACTGCTCTAGAAGCGTATATGATGGACATCTTCAACGATGTAGAGTTAATAATTGGTACACAATCGAAATGGTATGAATGTTTATATACGCACTTACTCTCTCGCATCATAGTTTTGACGGCATGATTTCCATAACATAATATAGCTTTCAAACATAAAAACAACAGGTTTTGAAGACAGCGGAGTTAGTAAGTTCGGAAATTCAGGGTGTTCGGCTGGTAGGTAGGGGCACTGTGTACCGGATGGTTTCGGATGATTCAACAGTGTTCTGTGAGAAAGAATAAGCTGAAACAAGCTGAAACAAGAAGACAAGAACAGCCGAACAGTGGAAAAAACTAGCTCAAAATCAGTAAAAAAAAAACTAGAACTCAGGTATATTTCTACTTTCACTTGTCAAAGACCAATGCAAATAATTTCTAGACATGGTTGCCATGTCACTTATTACATAGCATTAGCTACCTGGCAACAAAAGCTTGACTGATGCCAGGAGAATGGAAGGTGCCTCATGCATCAAAGTGCCCTATTGTCCTATTGGAACAAGCATACAATTGTTTTCTCAGGTACCAACCGCCATGCAAAAATCATTTCTCCAGTGTTGGGAGGACCTAATGACCATATGAAAAATTATTTGGTTTATTTACGGGTGCACTAGAATCATTAAGTTGGCATCACAGGAAACCACCAGAACTCGCGGATGTGGAAACCTCAATGCTTCAAAGAAACATAGTGAACATGGGGTTATCAATCAGAAGGACCAATCATTTTCTCTGGGACAACAAGCTCATGGAATTCTTGCTCCGTTAATACTCCAAGGTCTAATGCAGCTTTCTGGGGAAAAGATAAAATCAAGAAAGGATTAGGTGTATAATAGCATGGAAGAAGTTTAAAGAATGTAAAATCAATGAAAATTATAATTCCCACGATTAGGTTGTACTCTATGAGGATATGAATAGACGAGGGAATGGAGAATGAACTTATATCACATGATTAATGTCCTGATTCAAGTTTTCGATATCTAATGCCTTAAGAATTGAATGGTTCAGGCAACCAGGACAAGATATCAACGTGCGCAAGTCACCTAAGCTAAGATAATGCATTATACACCGCAGAGCAAGGCCAAGGCAAAGTGAAATAAGTAAAGCAAGATCACCTTCAACGTGGTTCCTTCTTTGTGGGCTTTCTTAGCAACAGCTGCAGCATTGTCATAGCCAATTTTCTGCATTCATTCCAAAAGTAAGCATGGCTCGCTACTTTTTACAACTACAAACAGAGATTTAAAAAAAAGGCAAATTTGCAGTTTACTTACAGGGTTCAAAGATGTCACCAACATCAGAGACTGGACAAAAAAAAGGAAGAGAAATAAGTATTGCACTTTATACACATATCTTTTGCGAGTACTCAGTAGTTATGTGATGGATTGTTACCTCATGCAAAAGTTGTGAAATTCTCTTATGGTTTGCTTGAATTCCCCTGACACAATTTTTCTCGAAGGACACAGATGCATCCCCTAACAACCTCAATGACTGATGAAAAAAGGAATGGTTAGAGGCACTTGCAGTAAAAATTTAGGAGGTTAAAGTTACCAACTCACATTAACATTATGAACCTAAAACAATAAGAGGGCTTATGAGTCTAGAAAAAGTTTCTATAGTAAATTAAGCATATTGAAGTATGATAATAGAAAGCATACTCGAAGTAATCCGGCTGCGATCATTGGCTTAAAAACATTCAGTTCAAAATGCCCATTTGCACCACCAACTGTAACACCAACATGATTACCCATAACCTGCAATGCCATCATCCAAATGACAGTTATTTGAAATTATTAAAATTCAGATAGTCAAATGCATATGCTAGAGTATAAATAATGCAAAAAGAAATAGAATGTCAAGACAAAATATGGTTCAGCAGCAGCCCCGGTCAGGTACCAAGATTTCGGCTTATTTGCAGAAAGTAAAGGTGGAGGGCACCTCATATAAGCATATTTCATTTGTCAGATATGCTAGTAGCATTCATTTTTACCAACTCAATTGTTTGTTATTGATCGCTATTCAGATGCTCTTGCTACTTATCGAACATTTAGTTTTAAAAATATAGTAAAAGGCACTGCATCAGACAAATTAAATGACTAAGATATATGTAATTTCTACAGGAAATGACAACAACTGCTACCTAAAAATGTTTCTGACTAACTAAGCAAGCTGGAAGGTAGTTATGAGGTGCAGATCACCTTAACCATTAAACATCATAATAGATGAATATGTAGTCCTCACTAGGATTATGAGTTTGATACGGATTATGAGAACCATAACATAAATATATATGACTAAATAAATGGTATACCAATGGAACATAAATGCTTTTCAAATAAAGGTAAAGCTGTTCATCAAGAACATAAAACAAACAAGAAAAATGTTTGTCAAAAATACAAAATGGAGATTTGATTATTTTCAGAAGAGAAAACAAACATTATTTGTGTACCTGAGCACAAACCATTGTCAGAGCCTCGCACTGGGTTGGATTAACTTTTCCCTGAAAAGTACAAGTTGAAAAAGAAGCTTCGGAATGATGTATTCTGTTGATAAACATATGAAAACCATAACATGATATACTAACAGTCTGCTTACAGGCATAATGCTGCTCCCAGGCTCATTTTCTGGTAGGATTAGTTCACCAAGACCACATCGAGGACCACTGTGATTGTGTTGGAAATATTAGTGCATGCCCCCAGCATGCTAGAAAAAAATCATTTATAAAAATAGAAGATTGGAATAACGACCTTCCTAGCAAGCGTATGTCATTTGCTATCTTCATAAGAGATGCAGAAATTGTATTTACCGCGCCACTGCTCTCGACAAAAGCGTCATGCGCTGCCTACTTATAAGTTATAAGAAAAAACTGATGAGAACATACAGTGATGAGATAATAGAGAGTCTGAATACAACAACAACAACAAAGCCTTTAAGTCCCAAACAAGTTGGGGTAGGCTAGTCTGAATAATACAAAATTAGAAAAAGAAAAGTTAGCGAGACAATAAAACCAAAAGCCATACTAATACTAAGTACACTATACAAGCAAGAAGTGGTTGGATTTTGCTTCTATAAAGAACAAAGCCTAACAACTATCAAATAAAATAACTGAAAGTGACATACACATCTTAATGTTTCATCTGCTCAACTTGGGAACAGATGATATTTGCGTCCGTTGGTTTCAGTTCGCAAATACTTGTTATTTTCATTTTCTGAGGCAACATATTAAAAATGCACTTTCGACTGCTAAGCACTAACAAATTCCTTGTTTTATACGCATAGATCTAAGGTAGCATGGAATAAATGGAGAAGATGATAAGGATCTTCCACAAATCATCTTACATTGCAAATACCTAATATCTGTGTTTAGTGGACGAATATGTCTGCAGGCAGTTATAGCCTCAGACACTGCAATTAAAATGTCATGTAATATCCAATAAAATTGTGTGAAACCTTCGGTGGCTAGTGGCAGATCAGAGTATAAGATTTATATGTGTGCATTGTTACTAACCAAAACTTCAAACTTGTTCTCTGCTGTCACAAAGGGTAGGTTTGTTTCCTCAGCCACTGCAGCAGCTATTTTGACATCAAATCTGAAAAGACAGATTGAAATTTAAGTATTTAATAAATGAAAGGAACGCCTTAGGTAAAGCATGGAATTAACACTCTGTTTCAAAGTTATCCTAAATCAAGTACCATAAGATTAGTAATGATTAACCATATAAAAGAAAAAAAAATCAATTTGGGTTGGATACTCAAATCTCCATGTCTCACTTCTTTTAATCCAGAAGTAGACATGAGAGGTCAAACTGGAAAAAGAGACTAGATAGTATTGAAACTAATTGGAATGAACAGATTAATCTGGGTTATGTCATGGCTCATGACACTCTGGAATTCTGGATAACAGGGTTACATGGATTCTCTTCCCGAAGCAAATGGTGATAGACTACTAGGTAACTCAAGAAGTAAATCTAAATATATAATTTTGCATAAATATCTAAAAAACTAAAGTACTTGATTAAGTCCATTTTTGACCCCTCGACTCTTGCTTTTGTCTAACTTTGGCACATCAACTATCAAAACCGTTCAATTTTGACACCCAAAGCAGTTCTGAGTGGTTTCCAGATGACTCTGTGGTCAAAATGAAACGGTTTTGATAGTTGAGGTGTCAAAGTTAAATGGTTTTGATAGTTGAGGTGTCAAAGTTAAATGGTTTTATAGTTGGGGGTTAAAATTAGACAAACGCCAGAGTTGAGGGGCCATAAATGGACTTAACCCAAAACCAAATTAAAATTTATCGATCAAACGTATCAATGTAAACAAATTATCTCAAACATTAATTGACAATTACCCTTTCTTAGTGTTCAAGCCAGTTCCAACTGCAGTTCCACCTTGAGCAAGCTGCTCAGCAAGGTAATTATCAGTAGTGCTAATTTGTAAAGAAAACAAACATTAGCAGTATAGTACCTGGTACATCCGAGGTAATGTACAATTAATACGGTCAATTCCATATTTGACCTGCATAGAGTCATAAACAGTTACTAAGTCTACCTGTTAATCTTAAGTGCATATAGTTAATAAATAAGACAACAAAAGATGCTGGAATAAATCCTACCTGTGTAGTGTAACCACTGAATTCTTGGCCAAGAGTCAATGGGGTAGCATCTTGGGTATGTGTACGCCCAATTTTAATTATGTCTTTAAACTCAACAGTCTGCACAGTCAGGTTAGCAAATTCATTAAAACAAAATTTACTATATAACAATACAGAAATATAATGTTACATATAGCTACTGGCACTGCCAACCATAGGTTAACATGTCAAGGAAACCAACATTAGTTTAATCAGCTATTCAGCTGAAGGTCAACACATATTCTGTGGGGTTCGTTGTACTAGTTTAAAAAAAAATCGACCTGCAGGGGAAGGACCACCCCTGCTGCATTGATTAAAAACAAACTTCTCACACGCAAGGCAAAAAACAAAAGGCCAGCTGCCCTGGACTTACCACCGAGCGCCCAGGACACATGCCTGCGGCAATGTGCATCTCGCTGAAAGCGACTCAGGTGGTTACACGTATACTCGGGAACACAGCCGACGAGGAGTGTTTTTTAACCCAGGCCTGTTTAAATTCGTTTCCACCAGGAGTCGAACCCTGGAACTGAGTTGCAACTAAGACTCCTGTGACCAACTAGGCTACAGACCCATTCGCTTCGTTATACTAGTTTCATTGAGCGCATTGTTCAATCTTTTCAGTCAATTTGTAATCTAAGTGCTGAGATCACTAATAACAAGCTTATCTACCATTACCCTTATTTTTGTACACCATTTACTGCTCTACCGTGCGTCCACATCATCATCTATTTGTGCCCATTTGGTTGCCCATCTACGGCAATGGCCTCTTCTACTGCCCATGTATGCCTACTGCCGCAAAAATATACTACTACTATTTTTTTTACTAAAAAAACAGGGAGGGAGGGCCAAGGGCAAAGTCGTCAGTCCGTCGTTGCGTGCGTGTGGAGACCAGGGTCGGCGGTATGATGCAGACAGCGCAGGCAGGGCTCGCAGACCAGATACAGATCCATATCCAAATCCCAGCGTCCAGCTGCCAAGCCATGGCTGTGGCTCACGGATCGGCGCAGTCCATGGATGGATGGAGATGGATTCATGGATAGATAGATGATTTATAGATAGAAGACGGCCGATGGCAGGCAGTGGCTGCATATGCATTGGCGTCCATGGGCCGGGCGGGCGGGCTGCATCAGTGTGACCTCACTAGGGCTGGCCTGGTCGCCTTGGCCGCCACGTGGCCCTTGTGCTGCGACTTGTGGAGCCCACCCAGGCGTCCATGTGTCCCGCCCTGCTGCCCCCCACCCCTTCGTGTCACCCGCCTCTCTTACTTGGCGCGCCGCGCCCCCCCACGCCCAGGCCCCGCCTCTACACGGAGGCGCCATGCAGTGCCATGCGCCGGCTTCTCTGCCCGCCCGCGCCCGCCTACCTTCATTGCGCACACTGAAAGACTGCTGCCTGGCCTGCAGTGCTCCATCTGCATGCCTTGCCAACTGTCTATGTATACCAGGCCAGGGAGCCTCACACAGCACACACACAAGGCACCGAGACCCAGGCAAGGGTTGCATTGCTAGCATCCATCGCCGCCGGTCGATCGCCATATCGATCGATCTGCGGACGGACGGAGGGACGAAGCTGGTCCAGATGGATCATCGGTTGCCGCCGGTCGCTATGGAAGTGGTGGTGATGCAGCGACAGCGACAGCAACAGCAGCAGCAGTTCATCCACCACCTGCAGGTCCACCAGCAGCAAGGTACGCACCACCAGTCGCTGCCGCCGCGGCCGCAGCAGCAGCACCAGAACAGCGGCGGCGGCGGCAGCAGCAGGGCCACCGGCGGCCGCAGGTGCTGCCCGCTGCGCTAGTCGCGCAAGGGTTGCATGAAGGGCAAGGGCGGGCCGGACAACCAGCAGTGCCCGTACCGCGGCGTCAGCCAGCGGACCTGGGGCAAGTGGGTGGCTGAGATCCGCGAGCCCAACCACGGCGCGCGCCCAACCACGGCGCGCGCCTCTGGCACGGCACCTTCGACAGCGCGCTCGAGGCCGCGCACGCCTACGACAACGTGGCCAGGCAGCTCTACGGCGACTGCGCGCACCTCAACCTGCAGCTGCCTCCTCCGGCGGTTGCAGCAGGCGGAGGAGGAGCACCGGCGGTCGCGGTGTCGTCTCCGTTCCCTGACACTGTGGCTGCTGGCCCTGCTGCTGCTGCTGGTGGTGGGCACAACCGCCACCACCAGTACCTCCAGCAGCAGCAGCAGCAGCAGGCCGCCATGGCGGCAGCGCCTATGATGATGATGCGGTACTCCTCCAGCTACTCCGCCGACGCGTCGTCGTCCAACTCCGGCTCCTTTTCCAACTCCTACTCCAGCTCGTCGCCAGTGACCACGGCGGCCGTGGCGGCCTCGCCCACCTACAACTACAACAACCACCAGACGTTCCAGATGACGCCACCGCCGTCGTCATGCGGCGGCGTGATGATGGCGCCCGCCGTGCCGTAGGCACAGGGCTGCCACGTCAACACCACCACCACCACGATGGAGATGCAGCGTCACCAGCAGATGATCCGCGAGTTGGCGGCGGCACCTTTGCACCAGGAGCCAGACGACTTCGAGGACTTCATGACGCGGCTGCCCGAGGCGGAGGACTTCGGCCTGCAGGGCTTCCAGGAGGTGCCCCCCAAGGTGTTCGCCGAAGCCGCCAGCAGCATCTAGGACCCACACGGCGGCCGCCTGGTCGACCCCCACCATGATGATCGACTCCGCCGCGGCGCCACCCAGCACCAGCAGTAGGTCGTCGTCCCTCTCTGACTCTCGCGTTGATCGATGACGCCGGCACGTGACCTGCACCAGCTACTTCGTTCCAAGCTGCATCGATGAGCTGGCCAGTGTACGTGGCGAAGTGATTCGACGCACGCGCGATGCATGACACCCAGTGGTTCGTGAGTTACTTACAACTCAAGGCATACATATAGAACTGTATGTACGTACCAGATGGTTACTCTGCTAAAGACTGCTACTATATACTCCGTATTATATAGTTTTGTTTCTCAGTTATGTTTCAGGTTTGTAAAATATATACTGTAGTATTGGTGCCTATACTCTATCCTAGCTATATAGTCTTTGTGGGTTTGTATGTGTGGTACATGCATGGGCGGCTAGCTAGCTTGTTCCATTCCATCCTAGAAATTACATAAAGCAAAAGTAAACTATGAATCAGAAAACAGATTACCCTGAAATCAATTTATAACAACAAAACACGGATAGCAGGAACTTTAAAAAAAAAGAACATAAAAATAAATCACCCACTAACCCACTCCACAAATAAAAAGATGCCCTGGAGAAAAAAGGAAGAAGAATGAACTTTATAAGAGATGCTTATACATATTACCATTAGCATGTACAAATTGGTATGAAGTGGTCACCAGGGTATGGGTTACCTCATTAGCACCTAATTATTAATACAAACTTCAATTGGGCAAAGAATTAAGCGACTCTAACGGACTGCTACAGAACTTGTACAGAGTTAGGAGCCACTATGCAGTTCTTGTACAAGCAATGCCCTAGACAATTTTCTAAGTTTCTAATGTTTCAACTTCGATCTGAATCCCTAATCAGCAGGTGCATATAATCAATAGGCACAAATTCGCAGTAGGCTAATATAATATTAATGGGTCATGATATAATTATACAAAAGGCACTTAACAAGCATAGTACAAAAAGGGTCACAATAATTATAAAAGGCATTTGACAAGCATAGTAAAATAGTTCCCATGGAAGGAAATGAGAAATTAATACTTTTGAATGAAGTGAATCATGCAACTGTTGCAAACTTGGGATAAACCTCGAATTTATCTCAACGGCCGCCGCTATATGCATTACCTGGAAATGTCAACAGCATGAATAATAAACATCTGCAGCAGTAATAGTAATACTGAAATAAAAATTTTAAAAATAGTTAAAGCTTACAGTGGGAAATGTATCATTTGAAGATTGTGACCTATTCACATGGTCATTTGGGTGCACAAACTTCTCACCACGCTTGTGTCCAAGGATCTCAGCTGCCCTATTTGCAATTACCTAAATTGGGAAAAGAGATCATAAACGATATGGCACAACTGGCAAAAACATGCTAAGTACACAATAAAATTCACATGAGCATTAGCTTAACAGGAAAAGTAAATACTGTTTTGCATACAGACAATCAGCAGAGTGGAGCACAGATGGAGGTAGGTTCAGTTTGCCCACTGTTTGGACAGTGAAGCTTAACTTTTCACACTTTAGCAGGGATTACTATTCTAATCAACAGCCATACTACTTTAGAATTGACACTTCTGGTGAAAGATTTGAAGTAAAAATATTGGATGTGTAGGACACCAACCTCATTGGCATTCATGTTGCTTTGTGTGCCACTGCCAGTTTGCCAGATAACAAGTGGGAAGTGATCATCCAACTTTCCCTCTGCGACCTCCTCAGCTGCCTGCACTATGGCCTTCCCTATTGTTGGATCAAGGCCATACTCCATATTTACCTTCAAAAGAAAAAGGAAAAGTATCCATACATAAATGATACAAGTAGCCTAAAAACTACCAAAGTGAAAAGTTGAAAGTATATAGAAAAGTTCGAGCTGGCGCTAATAACTGTGTCTAATGTGATCTACAGAGCAATCTGAAATTGGTTAAAAACAAAGTGAGACGCACCTATCTGATATGGAATTTATCTGAAATTAGTAGTCTTGTGACATTTAATAAGTCAAACAAACTATAAGTTGTAACTAGCATGTCCCATCCACATGTGATCTTATAATAAGTCTAACAAACAGATACTTGGTGGCTCACAACAAACAGGAAAATCCAGAGTTGTCATCTTATATACTCCAAAATACAATCATAACCACTGAATAATATAGCAGATGGAATTTGGGCACATCACGCATTGCTTATTACAACCATTCCTTCCATGGAATGCGGAAATTGCTTTACAGTTTGCAGTGCCCTCAAAGGATAATCAACGGAATGCATCTACCCACCCACCACGCGCAGAAAACAAAAAAACAGTTTCACTTTGTACCTTAGCGGCGCACTTTTTTAGCACGCCAAAAGCGCGGATGATGGGCACGGGCATCCTCTCGCGCTCCCCGCCAATGTCGAAGTTCTGCAGCGACCTCTGCGTCTGCGCGCCCCACAGCCTGCCCGAAACAGAACACAACAGCCGGAAGCCATCAGATCAACCACAGCATCTTAGTTGCCGGCGACACCAGCAGATCAAAACAACGCGCGACAAATTAGATCAACGGGACAAAGCTGCTATGCATCTATGGGGGCGAGGGGGAAACCACGCACTTGTCGTTGGGGACTTGGATGGGACCGAAGGTGTCGCGCTCCTCGCGGAAGCCGGTGGAGATCGGGCGGGTCAGCGCCGGCCGGAGTAGCAGCGCGGCCGCGGCAGCGGAGGCCGACGGCGAGCCGGACACGCCCGCGAGGCGGCGCAGAGCCATCGCCATCTCGGGTGTTTCCCTGCTAGTGCTAGGTCTGCGCGTCGCCGCGGCGGCTGGAGAATGGGAAGAACGAGAGCAGCCGGGCAGGGCAGGTGGTGGACCGGTACTCCGGGAGGGGGGGAGAGGAGGCAGGGAACCAGGGAGGTTTTTAATGGGCTGATCTCACGCGTGCATTCTGCATCGGGTGGTGGCAGGTGGTTGATGGGCTGCCTTGCTGTAAAAGTTGGTCTGATTGGCTTTGGTCAGGGGACGCTTTTTTTGACTGTCGCTGAACGGCTGATCGCTTTTGTTTTTGTGTTACACAGTCCTAATAGAACGACTACAAAGTTAAAAGAAAAAACTACTCAATTCGTCACAAAATAAATACACATATGGTTTCTTAAGAGTCAAACCTTTTAATATTCATAATGTATAATAAGTATAATTAGATTAAGCATAGAATAATTTTGATAATAAATTTATCTAAAAGTAGAAATGTTGATATTATTTCTGTATTTCAAGTCAAACTTAAGTCTCGAAAAACGAGATGTGTATTTATAGGAAGGATAGTTTTTGTTTTTTTAAAAAAGGACTGCTGTAGTTGTTTTTGTACTATGGGTAGTCTAACAAAACGACCCTCTGTCTCATAATAATTGCACCTCTAGCATTTAAATTTTGTCACAAAATAAATGCACATCCAGCTATGTACTACCTAACTATAGTAGCCTTTTTTTATACTTTTTTCTATTCTTAAGGTGCAATTATTACATATTGGGGCAACTTTAGTAGGGATATATAAATAATTTTTCTAGTATCCTTGATCTCTCCAACAAAAGCTAGAAGTGCACTTATTTTAGGATGGAGGGAGTATGATTTATAGTGCCAATATGATAGGTAAATAAAATAATAACGTGACAATAGAAATAAGGAGAAGAACAAGGGAAATGGTTTCTTAAACTGTCTAAGCAGAAACTAAGATAGGAAAAGGTGTGACAAATTAATGATAAAATTATAAAAAGATAAGCTATGACAAAAAAATAATTTGAATAAAAATCGTGTATTAGAGATATAGTTTTTATGTGTGGCTCCTACGTTACTTGGCAATGATGGAAACTATCTCATATACTTCCTCTTTTCCAAAGTATAAGACGTTTTGGATTTTCTAGATATTTTATTTTTAATATATATCTAGACATGGTATATATCTAAGTTTATAGCAAAAACTATGTACCTAAAAAAGTCAAAACATCTTACAATTTGAAATAGATGGAGTACTTTCTATGGCTGGGACTATCCTTAGAGCATGGCTAATAATACAATCAACTATTGATTGTATATTATTATCGTATCATCTACAACCTTCTAATAACATGCAACACAGTCACATAGTAGTTGGCTATTGATATATAATAATGCACCACTAATATATGGCACACCTTACTATCCCATAGAGTTTCTTAAAGACCGTATATAAGCTATCTATAAGGGCATGCACAGTGTAAACGAATCAAACAAATTAACCTTAAGCTAGCTATAGGTGACAACATTAAAAAAAACAATTTATCTAGTTCTGCCTGTTTGATTGATATTCTGCTTTTTAGGTCTCGTTTGGCAGGGCTTTACTTATCTAGTTCTGCCTGTTTGATTGATATTCTGCTTTTTAGGCCTCGTTTGGCAGGGCTTTACTTCACTAGTGAAGCCATTTTTTTTGGCTTCAGCTCCACGAACAGTTCCACCGGTGGAGCTGAAGCGGTTTTGGTAAACCGTTTGGCAAAATGACTTCCCTGTGAGAGCATGTTTTTAGGGGTCTGGAGGAGGAGCCAGGAGAAGCCATTTTTTTTTTGCTCCATCCCACCCCAAATTATTGTGAGAGCATGTTTTTAGGGGCTTCACCAGTGAAGCTATTTCACTTTATCTCGTTTGGCAGAAAACGGCTCCAAACGGCTCCTGAAGCTGATGGAGAAGCCCTGCCAAACGGGACCTTAATAGCAGAAACACTTTTTAGAAGCTGAACCAACGTAACCGTACATTGGCACTAACAAGATGTGTTGTGCACCTTCGTGTGCAACTGCATTTTCAAAAAAAAAAGGGGGGTTAGGTTAGCCTTGTTGTGCCCGCGCATTAACACAATTTATGTTGGAAGAGTTATGTATGGCTATTTTTTGCTGATTAAGATAAGATTTAGCCTGAAGGAATTCAGCTGCGCAGCCGCGGCACGAGTTGCTCTCAGTTCGGCAACCTAGAATCCAAAGTAGTACGCCTCTTGCCGTACAAAACTGTTCCGAACGAGCTCCGCGATCGAGATGCATATCGTGTTTCAGAGTCAGATCAGCAGGAGCGTCTGCGTGCTGCCTGCACCGAGACCTGCTGATTCTATCCTCATCGTGCGCGCAAACATGGTCAGATTCGCGTCAGGATAGACCTTGCAAAATCAAACGGAGCACTGACCACATCTTGCCAGAATGCATTCAGGTTTTGATTGTACTGCAAGTGGAGCAAAGAGCAAAGGAACTAATCTTCTTGTCTCAATAATATGTGCCCTCTTTGTATTCGCACGCGATCTGCTCTTAACACGCTGCGTGTCACAGCCTCACAGGAACGATCGCTACAGTGGCATTTGATGGAGTTACACTGAACGGACGTGTATCCACGAACCATCAATGCAACCATATGAAAGCTTTATTATCACTGAAAAAAAAATTGAAGAAGGGTTTAATTACCACAAATAAAACCAACTTGGTCACTCGGCAGGTAAACACCAGGACAGAGTAGGCAAGACGTTTTGCAAGACATATAACTATACATGCAATCTCCAGTTCTCCACTGATGTTTGACAGACCTATAAGAAGCTGCACTCATAAAACAGGGCCAAGCAGAGTGTAGAACAAGAACAGGCGAGCAGGAATACAACAAAGTTGGACACGATGCCAGGCCGGATATCAGCGGAGTGATGTCTGGCCGGCGAGATGGAGCAACGCCTGCTTGTGGTAAGCTGTGCGGAGCTTCTTGTACTTCTCCAGGAACTTCTGGGGCAGCTCCTCAGACTCCTCGTCCAGCTTTCCCATTGATGCTGAGGAAACAACAATGCGATTAGTCACAAATTCAAACACTTGGAATTACATATTACTTTTTTGTTGTTGTTTTGAACTGGTAACTAGAAAGTTCAGAAGATTCTAGCATATAGCGTGCACAAACAGATATGCCTGAACACTGACATGCATTGTACACTGTACCGATTATGGATCAGAAAATAACCAAACTCAGATACAAGTATGCTACCGGTGAGATGGAGCTGAAGATGTTATTGTTCAGAGTACTTACTTTGGAGCTTGTCGAGCAGTGCGGCAGGGGAATAGGACCTCATAATATCATCCTTTTGCCTCTCCAAATCAGTAAGCCAGTCTTGAGCAGCAGCCAGTTCTGTGGTTCTAATTATTGTGCACTGCAAAAAATTATAAATGCAAATGAAATGACAGCAAAGAAATGAAGTGCTGGAAACATAAGAACAAAATCAGTAGAAAGCTTCACAGTAACAGTATTACAAGGTTGTCGTTTCATGATATTAACAAATTTTATAAACTATGCTGATCCTTTGATTTATTAATGAATAGCCCAACAGCAATGTTTTCTTTCTTTCTTCATGACATATAGGTGACAGTGCTGCACCTGATTCCTAAGCTCCAAAATCCACTGCTCCTTTTCTAAATTTTCCCCTATAGTTTACAACACTAAAGAGAGTAAGAATATATCTTATTTGAAGTTCTGTAAGTCTGAGGGTACTTTTGAAGCACCATTATTTCTTTGAAACCAATTCAAACACCACTATTTAAACAAACATAATGTATAACTCACTTGCAAGTTGCAATGTCTCCTTTCCAAGCTCATCATGCACCTGACATTAAGAAAGAGGGCCCAGTCAGCAAATACACAAGACTTCAGTTATTTCCTATATGGGTACGACAGAGATGAGGGCCCAGATAAGCAGCAGTCACGTCACAACATAAATACTTGCAAAACAACCACCAACGCATGGATGAGGCACCAGAGGAAAGATGAAACATGTGTTAAAAACTTAAAACTTAGCCCACAAGAGGATTGACAATATGTAAGCTTTCAAGGATGTTGTACACTAGGAGATAGACTGTAAAGAAGAAATAATGAGCAAAAATAGTAGCATTGGAACTCTGACATCATTAACTAATCAAGAAGGTTTCAAAACTGTTTCCATAACCAGTGTGGCAAGGATATTCAATATGGACGACGAGACATTCTTAGGAACCTCAAGAATAATTGGAACCACCAAACCAAAGAAAGCTAATTTCAAAGTTCAGAATCCAAAGGAACATGAATAACAATATTAGGTGGGGAGACACTCTTAGGCGCCATTTGGATTGTAGGAATTTCAAAAAATTCCAAAATCCAGAGGAATGCAATTCCTATGTTTGGCTGACGTCAGGTGCCGTTTGGGTTGGAGCAATGAATCTCACAGTTCCTCTGGAAAAGCACGCTTCGCTTTGCAAAACGCAGAAGCAAAAACATCTGCTCCAACCCAAAAGTTTTCGTGGATGGCCAAGGTGCGCGTGAAAGAGAAAACAGAGGTAAAGGAAGCTCAAAGAAGCAATTGTGTCATGGCCGCCAGGATTGAAGCATGATTTGCACCGCTGCAATGACACCACACAGCCTATCTCAACCTCTCCTCTCTTTCCAGCTTCCACGCGGATCAGCGCCTACGCGAGTGCAAAATGGTCCTTCTCGAATGGAATGACATTGAGGACCTGCCCTTGCCAGTTGGGACAAGTCAGTGGTGGATGTGTGTGGGATGAGAGAGGTGCTGGCCAGTGAAGGAGAGAGACCAGATGAGGTTTGGGGAAGAGATAAGATCGAGCTTGGGAAGGAACGAGCAGCAGAAAGTAGATAGATGAAGTACTCAATCTTTCACTGCTGTGGGGTAGCAATTCGAATGGTTCATATATCAGTGGCTAGGAAAAAAAACTCTCATGCCTATAGAGATGAGTTGATCCATCCGTTGTTGACTATAAATAAATAAAAAAGGTTGTGCACATCCAGTTCAGGCAAATTGGATTCCTATTCATTTCCAATTTTCCTATGCTCCTATTCTTGAATTCCAAACACCAACTCATAAAAGATTCAAGTGTTTCAATCCTCTGTTTTGCCACTACACTTCTTTCCTATTCCTATAGTTTTTCCTTTCCTATGTTTTTCATTCCTTCGTTCCAAACAGGCCATAAAAATGTAGGTTATGACGCATAAAGGATTTCAGCATCCTCTGGTGAACTCAGCATCACAAATATAAAAAAGTGGTCGTGCAACAGAGCTTACATTGTTCTGGGTTTTCACTTGATCAAGTGAGTTAAAGAACGCATTATATGCCTCTTTGTCTTTCAATATCCTTTGTAACTCCTCAATACTGCGCGTACCCAGTGCAGAGAGCTCCCGCTCTGTGCGGGGTCTGGGGAAGGGTGTTAGTGGCAAGCCTTACCCTCGCCTGTGCAATGCGAGGAGACTGCGACTCGAACCCGGGACCTTCCGGTCACAGGCGGTAAGACTCTACCGCTTGCACCAGGCCCGCCCTTCTAACTCCTCAATACTGCACAGAAAATTTTGATTAAAAAGTAGCATGATATAACAAGGTTGTCAACTCCAGCCAAATGATGCATCATCAGGAAAATTAATATTGTTCAAATACATATGCTGTCAACATATAGAATTCACAAACACAGCACAAAGAATCAGCAGTACATAAACGGTCGATCCAAAATTATACAGCACTTATCAACTAGTTCTCCAACCTACACCAAATGCCATGTTCTAAACAACCAGTTCATCTCTACTTTTATTAAACTTACAATCACCCTACAACCTGCCTGCTTCTGGTTGTTCAGGCTTGCCTTAACATATGTACAACACAGATATGATATGCCAATCCATAACACAATGGTATATGCTGAAGGACCATGCCCTAGTATAGTGTTAAGGTATCAAAATTAGAGCAATCGTATGTTATAGATCTGGACACAGTTTTGTTAAATGTCCCAGTTTGGGGATAACCCTAAAAGCATATGATTCATAGTAAAGGATGACTAAGTATTTCAATGCAACATAATAAATATGAGACAGGAGACAATCCTGTATGCAAGAAAGCCAGAGATAAATCATTAAAGGAAATAAGACTGTGCTAACCTCTTATCCTTCAAACGGGCAATTATCCCTGCAGCCTCAGCAGGAGATGGTTGCGCACAGGATGAAGACTGCGGATCATCTGAAGCTCTTAGGTGTGGACTAGCACTAGAAGAGGTAGGGGTGGATGGACGTGAAGACGAACCTACAACCGAGGGAGGGTACCAAGACTGCGTAGGGATGTCCTGGAAATTTGGATCTGTTTGCTGCTGCTGAGAGCTGCTATGAGCGCATTCAGCAGAGCCAAAGACAGTAATCAAGAGAAGCAAATTTTCAGAACTTGTAAGCATAATTTCTTATATGGCATCCTTAAACATTCAGTATAACTGTTAAGATGCATCAACAGGAAATGGCACATATAGCAATCAGGTAAATTCTCTTTGGTTAGCTAAAGAACTTTTGGACCGCAGGGTCATACAGGGAGGAAAAAAACTAAAACTAGGCACCACAGTGTTGTGATTGCACAACTTATTTGAACTAGCAGGTTCCAAAGAAAACATGTACTCCAATAAAGTTTACTACGGAAATATATTTCATAATTAATCTAATTATACTTATTTTGTATCATGAAAGTTCGTACCTTTTTATATAAATTTAGTCAAAGCTCAATTAGTTGACTTCTCGAAAAGCGAGAATTGCATCCTTTTGTGGACGGAGGGAGTACCACATGCACATAGGCAATTAGGAATATGTAAAACCTAACTAATCAGACAGATAAATGAGATGCCAGGGCTCATAAAACATAGATAATGGCAACAACATATACTCATTTCAATAAGATCAACATACCCAAAGAGAGGAAATCTCCAGCTCATCGTATAGAGAGATCTGCATTGAAAGAAAGAAGGTTATGGATGTCAATTCATAAACTGATTGGTGATGTAATACGAGATGTTTGAAACCTTCTTATTTGTGAAGATCAAATTGACATCCAAGTAAATTTTGATGCAAATAGCATAACACTAGTGCTTGCGAAGATAACACTAGTGAATTGCATAATCATAAAACAATCATTTCATTAAGTTGCCTATGTGTGCGTGAGGCAGCAGTAACTTGCTACTATCATGCATTCTAGAGTTAAAATGGGCCGGTAACTATACAGACAAATCGTCGGAAGTGGGCACGATCCTCATTACACAACTTCCAGTAGGGGCATGGGCGGACTTAAGGAAGGGGCACCGGATTCAGTTAAACACAGGGACGGACCCAGATGGATCACCAGATTTTTTTTTTTGGGGGGGGGGGGGGGGACCGAAATTAGTAAGTACAATACATATAAACAATTGTGATTTGATCAGATCCGACTAGGTTTGGGTGCTCGGTTTCGCACAGCAGGAAGGGAAGAGAAGGGGTGGGCGTACCTGCTCGTCGCCGGCAAAGGTCCCGATGGAGACCTAGTAGGGCAACGGCGGCGGGTTGCCCAGTCGTCGCCGTGCGCGAGAGAGAGCACACGCGGGGGAACGAGAGAAGGTTTTTGATTTTTTTTTTTAGCAAAGAAGGTTTTTGGTTTCGGGGGCGGGGGGGATCCGTTCGGCTCCAAAATTTGCAAGATAAAGATTCGACGAGCTATGATTTTAGCACCTAGTATTTGGTTTGCTATTAAAAATTTATCAAACTTTTACATTTGGCTCGCTAAATTTATGGTAATTATTTTTGTTTAACTTTTTGCTTGTTAAATCTTTGGCATGATAAATTTTATGAGTCAATCAAGCGTGCCCTTGAACGCGGATTCAAGTTACACCGTGACTTTAGCCTACCATCCACCGTCTGATCAAGATCAACAGGGTGATATTCACTCTGTTCGCTTGATCGTATCAGCCATGCTTATAAGTCATGATACAATATTTTTCTCTCATAACAAAATAGCATCAACCAACTTATAAACCATAGAAACGATCAAGCGAACAAGGTGATTGATGGGGACCTTAGACGTGTTTATCACACGAAGCAGCAGCAGGCCACCAGCAGATGAAGTAGGGATGGTAGCGGGTCGACTGATATGCGGGTAAAGTATATTTACTCCTCCGCGAATACATACCGTGGCTGACTTTTAAGCATATTCACGGATAAAATTTCGTATTCACATCTGACGGATACCTATATTTAAGAGATCAAATAATAAAATCATAGCGATTTGAAATGATACATTTATAGTTAAATGATATCCAAATATGTTAATCTCGCTTGCATAGAATTCACTAAGACAATAGTAGCATACATCATAGAATGATAATTCAATCATCATCTCCTGTAACAAAAAAACAAAACGTGGAAAATTTTTGGTACGACATCTGTTTTGGTTCGTCCGTCTGCCCACTTGCTATCCCCGCCTCCTGTCCACGCGCAAGTCACTTAAAAAAGGAAAGCCGCAATCACCGCACCCCCCACCCCCACCCCCACTGTGATGGATCCATCCCCACCCCACCTCGACGCGAACGAGGCAAGCCACCAGGACGAGGGCGTCGGCCAACAGGCGGGGCAAGGGCGTCTTCCAGGCCGCCGCCGCCCACCCAAGCGAGGGAGACGCCAGGCCGCCGGCCACCAAGCCATCAGGCGATGGAGCGCCTCCACCTCAGATCCAACCCCCACCGATGCGAAGGCACAGGAGCTAGGGTTTCAATCATCCGTGAGAAGGAGAACGGCGGCGGAGCATGGGAGCCCCTGCGGGCGCGCGACCACACCCGGCAGCGCGCGGGACGGGGAGCGTGGTGCAGGCTCGGAGCGCAGCAGCCGCCATCGCGGCCGCCATCCCCGCCGCCGCGGCTCTCCATCCCTGCTGTGCGATCTAGATCCAGGTCCGTTCTCTCTCCCTCCCTCCCCGTAGCTCCTAAATCCGCCCGCTTGGGGTGTAGTTGATTTCTCCATGGATGAACAATTTGGTGCTGTGAAAAGGGTGAGAAGTGCAGTGTATTTATTTCATCGCTATTGGCAGATAAATCAAAATGACGAAAGAAAGAGTGTATTTTCTTGCAAATCTATCTTTTCTATCACTAGCTGGATAAATTGGATCTATGTTTTTTTTCCTTAAGCACTCTACTGCTGACACAGATTTTCTATGGTGGAATGAATGCGAAATTTGCATTGCCCAATTTATCATTTATTTTCAGTGATATTCTTTTGGGACTGAATATTGTGAGTTTTTGAAACGCTGAAACTTCAAATTTGGTTTGACTCCTTATGCTCGCTACCATTTCCTTTCCATTTGTGGTTTGACTGGTTCTATATATAGTTGCAGTTTGTGTAGATTTGTGTACAGTGGCAATAGTAGCATCAATGCCCACACACTAGCTCTTGTTCTATGTGCAGTGCTACCCAATTGTTTCCGAAAGGCTTCTATTACCTAACATGTCACCATGAACTATACTCATATCTACTAGCGTTTCTCAAGTGTGTAGCAATGTGTTGCAAAACACTGAAATAGTAGTTGCACTTTAACAAGCGACTCTGCTTCTGTCTCTATTTTTTTGTTGGTCATATCTCTGAAATAGGTAGGATTACAGTTAATTTGATTAACATAAAAGTTTATTAAATAATACGTTCAGTTAGCTTTGTCTTTAGAGAAAAGCTATCTGGTCACACATTCATTATTTTACTGATAAACAATACAAAACAAATGATATTTTGACACTACCTTGGCAAGACGGGCCATTTTGACACCTACAAATGATGATGCTGCCACTATTAACACTTACGTCACGGAGTTAGTGCACGGTGATGAAAAGGAGTATCTAAGTTGCGATAGGATTTCAAAGTCCCCGGTAGCACATTCTTCGTATGATCTGTTATTAAATAATACGGCAATAATTTTCCTCAAAGATCGACTTATTCTAAAGAAAGGTGTCCCGGTAATGTTGCTTAGGAATCTCGATCAAACTGCTGGTCTATGCAACGGGACACGTTTAGTGGTAACTCAGATAGGAGGCATGTTGTTAGAGGCACAAATAATGACGGGCACACACATAGGCGATTGTTATTACGATTCCAAGAATTTATCTCACACTTAAGAATATGAAGCTACCCTTTGTTCGAGAGACGCGCGGTTCCAGTTAAGGTATGTTATGCAATGGCAATCAATAAGAGCCGAGGATAGACCACGACCAAAGGTTGTCGGTGTTATATAGGAAAAATTAGTTTCATAGCATTGAAAGATCGTCATATCCGAAAAATACCATCAAAACTTTGCTGCTCCGTAAAATACCATTCAAAGAATGCGACGTCACCTCGATATAGCATTCCGTCACGTTGGTGCAAACGTCATTTGCTCCGGCGTCAAGCTCCTCTCCTTCTCCTTCCTAAAATGAGTGAGTCACCACCGCTGCCTCTCCTCGGTGGGACTGCTCCAACATTTTGCCGCCTCCAGAGGGATAAAGCGGAGACCGGTGATTTACAACAGCGACAACGGCAGCGGCAAGGCTCTGCGGAGGGTGTCGTCGAGGATCTGACACTCGTTGACTTCGCCAGAGGAAGTCGGCGCACAACCTCATCCTCCGCGACATGCTCATGCTCGAGAACCAAGTCCCGCTCTTCCTCCTCCGCGGGATCCTCGAGCCCGGTCGCGTCCCGGCGAGGCCGCGGCTGCTCCGCGGATGGTCACCGGGCTCATGAAGGAGTTACGCCCGTTCAAGATGGTGGACACGTTCCCGCCATTGAAGTCAAGCAGAACGCACACCGCCGAGGTGCTCTACTATCCGCTTGTGCCCAAGCCACGGCGGCTTGGAGAGCCGTCGCCTTACGGCAGAGACCCGCCAAGACGGCTACGACAACGAGGAGCAACCGGTGGTTGGGCGGCTGGCGATGAAAAGCAAAAACATGCCGCCGGGCTGCGAAAGTATGTGAAGCGATTCTTCGCTCACCGTGTCAAAGATGGCGTCGGGGCTCAACAATGACACGATGCGCGCTACGTGGCGAGGCCGATCGCGTTATTGTCAAGGCACCGTGGAAGATGCTCACCGTCGTCTTTGGGGTTCTCGGCGATGAAGCGGCCGTCGAGGCCTTCTTCATGTCCAGCACCGACGCGAAACACGCCGCCCACGACCCAAACGGTAGCGAGTCTTAGGGGTTTCGGAGCTCAAGCCCGCGCGTGTGCTTGCCTCGCATCTTTGTCGCCGAGCACTCAGCAGCCGCCCGCCATTTCGCCACAGCTCGCCAAAGATGCCTCCATGAAGCTGCGCCGCACCAGCCCGCGATTCCACCCGCCAGCGAGTCGAGACCATTGAAGCTTCGCCGCCACAGCACTGTGGCACTGCCGTCGCCACTCTGCTTGCCGGAGCTCCCAAGACCGAGCCGAGTGCGGCAAAGACGGAGGACCACTCGGCTCTCTTCCTCTAGAGCGGCAGCAGTTGGAGCGGGTCTCACCTGGAGGAGAGGCAGCGGCCACACTCATCTCAGGAAGAACGGGAGGAGCTTGACGGAGGCGACGACGTTTGGTCTGAACGTGACGGAATGCTATATCCAGGTGACGTCGCATTCTTTCAATGGTATTTTGCGGAGCGATAAAATTTTGATGGTATTTTCTGAATACGGTGATCTTTCGATGCTATGAAACCAATTTTCCCTACCTAAAAAGACCCGTGTTTAGCCATGGTCAATTGTATGTCGCCGAAATGAGGTCTCAAGATATTAATAGAGGATGCAGATGGTAACAGCACGGACGAGCCGCAGAATATTGTCTATAGTGAAATCTTCTTGGCTATGTCATCGGTAGGTGACCCGGTATGAACTGCTTGTTTGTGCTTGGTACACAAATAAATTCAGCCATGGTCTGTGGTGTTTTGCTTGTCTTTTGGCGCCTGTTGAAAGAGATAGATTTTGCTGAGATCATTAGAGAAAGCGCCATGCGAGACCGCTGCTGTGATAAGTGTGCCGTTTTTTAGTAGGTGGGTGCTGCATTTTACTTTTATTGTTGTAGCAATTTGTGCCATGTTTTTAGCTCACCAGTGTGCCCGGTTTCGTCACTTATATGTTTTGATATGCTTTTTGGTGGTTGCAGGGCTGGGTCGGTGGCTGCGATGGCATTCGATCTGCTTCCCAGCCTAAAGGTTGGCAACATGCATGCCGTCATCCTTGTTTGGGTCTCCCGCAAGTGGGAGTATCGCGGTGGAACTGATGATGGGCCCACACAGCATGTTGATTTTACGTTGGTTGACGAGAAGGTGAGGATATTCTTGGTACATGGTTCTGTATGCATGTTTTGTTAGTTTGCTGTTGTATTCCTTTCCCGCTGCATGATTGTGCTACAACAGGTCCGAGTATGTGTCTTTGCGTGATTAGTGGTTTCATTTTTTTCTGTAGGGAAACAGTATGTACGGTGAAATCCCGGCTGGTGAGGTGGAGACTAAGAGCCCGCTTGTACAAGAAAATGGCATCTATGTGATTAGCCGTTTGAGAGTTTCCAATGCGAAGCGCGGCTTCAGGCCTGTCGCTTCACAGTTCATCACATTTCGCACGCAGGTGTCTGCTGCCAGAAAAAGACGTGCCTGGCTTTCCGTTGTATGCGTACAGATTGACACCAATCGATGATCTGAGGTCGCGTGCTGGTGACACCGTTGATTTTGTTGATGAGTCCCTTTAATGCTTAGTGCCTGTTCCTTTGATTTATAGTAACCCTGGCTTACATGATCGTGGCTGTAGATGTTATTGGCCTGCTGACTGAAAGTGTCGGACGCTTACACGGTGCATCTACCTAACAAGCCTCGGCCTACACTCACCAGGCACATTATTCTTAGGGACCAAAAGCGTGTACAGTGTTTTGACGCTTTCTTAGCTCGACTTAGTGCTGCGATCAGTTTGTGGTTGGTGTTATGATAATTTCCTAAATGAATGCAGCTACTCGGCGGGTCAAGGTGCGCCTGTGGGGAGAGCGTGCTTCTGCGTTTGTTGTTGACCAGGCACTCACTCAGACCGACGGAAGGCCGTTCGCTGTGTTGTTTGTTGGTGGATTAATAAAAAAAGTACCACGGTATGTTGCGTTCGTTTGTTTTGGTTCGTGGTGATTTAGATGTAGATGCTCATCGATATGCCTGCCTTGCATGTACTGTGTAGACAATTGCTATCTTAGCGGCAATGCGGCTGCGAGGTGGTACTTCAATCCTCAGATCCCGCCTGCTAGACACTTGTATGGCGGGTAATCTCCTTACCAATTAGTTCTGTGGTCGGCTCTAATATATGTCCGTTGTGTATCTGGTAACTGGTACTCTGCAGTGACAAAGTCAGGCTGGTGTTGCTAACTAAATTTTATTTGTCAGGCTCCAGGACCAGCGTGTTGGTGTGAGGCGAGTTGTTGTGCCTCTCTCTGCAGGCAGACAGCCCGCGTCGTGTGCCTACCCAGCTTGAGATCAAGACCCTGACAGCAGAGTTAAATGGCATGGATCCGTATGACCTTGCGGTAAGAAAAATGCACGCTTGTGTCACTGTTTCATAGCTGCGTTGTGGTTGGCTCTCATCATTTTGCTTGGCAATTCCCTGCTTTCGTGTGCCAGGAGGATGGATATCGCTGCACCGTTACCATTGGTCGTTTGGTGCCAAACGTGTTGTCTTGGTGGTTTGCGTCTTGCACTAGATGCAGTAGGTCGTGCTCTCCGGATGGCACTAGCTACAAATGCAATGCCTGCTCATCAACTTCCTTCAGATTCAAGTATGTGCATGTCCTTTTCTGGTCGATGGTATTTTACAGTCTCCAAGTAACTAATATGTTTGTGCTATTTTCCTTGTGCATGTATAAGATCTGTTTCATTGCTCTTGATGGTACTG